ATTCCAACCCATGAGTTTTCCACACGTGACTCCACCGTGGATGTTGTGTTGGATGTCGGGATGAAGTTTTGACCGGGACATTCAGAAGAGATTGGGATGAAATTGTTGGTCATGCAAGTCGTTCTTGGAATCATTTTACGTCGCAGCATCTAGTCTTTGCAATGCAAACATTGTGTACACTGGAATTAGTCAGCTGTGTTCAGCTACTACTAATGGACGTTGCACCCGTCGATTATTGACTCTAGATTAATGTAGCATGGCGAGCGACAATGAGACGTTCCGCCTGGAACTACATGCTTTTCTAAAATTGCCATTGTTTTGGTGCATAATACCAGCTTAATTTTACCATCTAGTTCAGTCATATCGTAAAGATAAACCACTCCTTCCAATATCTTTAATAGTTTGACTTGCGAATATCCTGTTATTCGGTAGTAGCTAGACAGCATGCGGTTGTTTAAGAAACAGACGGCTTGCATTGCGATAAATCTAAAGCCCTTACCACTATCATATACCGCATTTGTTTGACTTAATAACGTAATTATGTTTCTTGACTATTCCTTTTCTTCTTACACAGCAGGTGAGTGTAAGCCTTCATTTTTCATCTAATCACCCGAGTAACACGGACCGTAACTTCTTCAAACAGCTGTTGCCATGATCACTGCCTATAGAGCAACCTGTCATTGCTCAGTTTGTCAGGATGGAAAAGACGCAGTGAAACGCATTTCATTTAGGAGAATACTACTCTCGAGCAAGAAGCATTGGTATCAGAATTCCTTTCCTAAGATGGCATTCCGTAAAATGATACCAGACTTTGTATACAAGCAACATTTGTGGAAACTGTTTGTATTTATGCTCTACTAGGTAGTGGTTTTTTTTAACATACTAGTTTACATGGCGCCGCCTATCCGTAAAAAATGCAATCAGCGCATGTGTTAATAGACGTTAGTGCAGAACGCACGTATTTTGAACACCTTGATCTAAATGAAGGGAAATTCTTCTCCGTCACATCTGGTACAACTAAGCTGCTCCAATCCATTTAGGTCGCACAATCTTCCGCACGCCTTTTGCGCACATTTCTTTGCCGGTAGTGTTGTCCACTCACCAAGTGGAACGCGTGGAACGCTTGCCCGCCTGTTGGTTATTCCTCAGACTTGTGGGTTGCACTCAAGTGTGGCGCGGGTGACCGAATACAGCATGAGTCAGCATCGATCCGGTTACTTTTTGTCATTCACACCGTGCAGTCGAGTCACTGCACAAATGTTTCCAAGGCTGTTTTTGAGTGCCTCGGTGCGCACTGTTACTGGGTGGACTGATAAGCAACCAAGCTCAAGCGGCTCTTTATCCAAATGGTCGGGGAACATTGAGACCTCCGCTTGTTCTTCTGCGATCGCAACTTAGCTACTCAATTAAAGGATTTTAGGAAAGGCGCACAGATTACCTCCCTCCCGGTTATCTGGTTCCCCACCATATTAACATTGATCATTAGTAGAATATCATCAGTATAGAAAACATCACTGTGCATAGCAAACATTCAGAGATAAATGGTATATACTGGAAGGAAAATTCAAAGCTTTTCGTGCCTTTTAGAATTATCGGTTCAGCTTCTCAAAATGGAAACAAACTGATACCGGCAATGAGCCTTCAATGATGATTTATCACGGGTTAAAAGCAAGTGCATGCTGCGTCCCATTTGATGTTTAGAATGAATACGATGAGACCAGAAGATACTTAAGTCATCTACCGAGCGTCTTCCGAGATACATTAATTGACAAGTAATATTACTTTGAAGTAAAAATCGTTTGCCCTCCTACAGAAATACGCAGGGTGCAATGATCGTTAATGTAAAATGCTGCATCTTTGAGGCTATGTGACGCATAGATTTAGTAGAAGGGCATGATTAACGTAATCTACGACGGAGAGAACTTAGAAAAATTATGAGACGCTGCTTGAATAGGAACAATCCAAGCGACGACCTCCGCCACGGGGAAATGGGTACAGATAACGGGACACAGATCGAAGCCGTCACTTTCGAAAAGTCACCTGCATGCCGATCACGGGTCGACAATTCAATCTGTATGATTACACTCCACAACTCGATGCACTGACGATGCCGATTCGCATGGCGGTGAAACGTTTGCAAACAAATTTCGCAGCTCGGCGAACAAATCAGCAACTGAGTAATCTACGATGTCGAAGTTTAGGTAACGAAGTGCTCGGAGCTAAGACTAAGATCTAATGGTACTTTTATTAAAAGGTCTAGTATTGTGTAGAGAGTATCAGCTTTTGGCAACACGAAGGGAAAGGTAATTCCGTCTCCAATATAGATCGCTTTACGGTTTCCTACATTTCATCCAGTTACCTCTGAGTTTGGTGTTGTGGCTGTTACAAAAAATGGCTGCCTTGTTGGTTGGGGTGTCTCAATACTTGGTACACTAATATGAGTTCGCCGTGCAGCCATCTCCAGGTGACTTCAGCCTTCGCTGGTAAGAGTGATTGCATAGGACTTTGACATACTTTACAACTCTTCGTTGAGTCACACTAGCACCTTGAGGTCACGGTTCAACCAAGGTTGCCAAGCTGTGATGGCGTATTCAATGCGAGACGGCACGTAAGTATTGTGCATCAGTGGGCAGCTTGATGGTTCAAATCTTCCGGTTGTTCTTCGCAGCAGGTTCACGTGCTTGTTGTCTCTTTTCTCAGCTACCTCAGCCCGTCTGAACAGTTGAGGTCAATATGTATGAGGACACCAACGTCACGTGCCTAAGAGCTGATCTGTAATCCGAGTGCCCCAAGCACATGCGTCTAGTCATATCTATGGTGTAATTGCACTATGCGACATTTGTCTACATTGAATGGTACGGCGTTTTGAACTGACCAGCTTGAAATCGTGTTAAGGTTGCACTGTAGCCGTTTGTGGTCATAGAGTCCTCTGATCCTTCGCCATCTCTTGATATAATCTGCGAGCAAATCTGAACGGGATGGTCAATACTGTCTGACGGAATCGTTTACTTTAAGTTTCGTGATGCAAAAATTATGGTCAGCACTGGTACTTTTAGTAAAGTGAGTACGCTCTTTCGTATTCTAGCTTTATTTCTTTTTCTTGGATAAGGTCGTTTACGGAAGCAATTGCACTGCTGATGTTGTCTACGAAAACGACCAATGTGAGGCCGCGGAAGCTGAATGCTGGTCGGCATTTCTTGTAAAGTACGACTTGGGGAAAATAGTTTCCATGACAACCTGTATAGCAGAATTTCCGACTGATGTTATTGCTGAGATCCAAAAGATATCTATTCAGGTCGTTTTGGTTACTTAAAATCACGTAAATTATGGAAAAGTCTGTGCACAAAATAGATAACAATTATAAGGCAGATAACAAACCTTCACTTTTGTGGATAGCCTGCATTTTGGGGCGAGTTAACGATGATAACCTTGTATACTTGGTTGCAAATATTGTCTAGCTTATTAATTATTTGGAGTCGGTGGTAATTACAAACACCATTACTATGATGTGGTGTGTTATTGATCAGCTTCGTTCTCAGCACGTACATGGAAGAATAATGGTGCAATAATAAACTTCTTGCTCCGATTCCACCCTACTCCTTATTATGTTCGGTCTTTGTTTAGAAGATCCCTATCCCCCTGTATATGAAGAATCACTCGTTATGTCCAAGAGGTGATCGTCACGTATTGTTATGTATTTCTATACTATTAGCTCTTTTCCCGGTTTGTCAGTCCTCTTACTGTTTTTCCTATTCACCTGATGAATTCATTGCAGACTGTCATAATTACTTAATTGCATATCAACCAACTGTTAGGTAATGTTTTGAATCAATCTCCTGGCACTGTACATACCAGTAGGTTAGATTCTAATCCGGCAGTTAATGAACATATAATGTACAGTCATGACAATCTATCGCTGCTGAAAGACTAGTGTAGTCTGCTTCTTCATTTATCAGTATATAGATAGACTTTTGCATGCATATGGAGATTAGGGCAGCTGTTTCCGCGATTCCGCTGATTGAAACATCTGGCTGAATCAAACTGTTACTCATATCTGACGCGCAGCTTAACTCACACTGTCATGAGATTTACCAAGGTACACTCAACATTTTAGTGGCGTGGATTCTATTAGACATGATTCGCTTTGGTTAGCCGTCCTCTGTTCCGTTGACAAGCAACAACATCTTCAATATCTGAAGTAATCCCATCTCCTTCGAACGCCTCATTTCGTTGACAGTGAGTAATAATTTTTGCCTCCAGCTTCTATTGCAAAGTGTCTCAGTGTAGATCGAATGATTTTGTTTCTAGTAAGAAGTGGAATCATGGCTTTCGAGTAAAGTGAGTCAGACGCAGATTTGTCAAAATATTTCCTCAACTTTTTGTTCAATAGAAACGATTTCTGAAAGATTACGAAGCTAATGAAGGATCAGAATGCTTTAGCAAGGCTGGTTTCTTTTACAGTATGCACTAGTTCAGGTAAACCAGTGATGTGGCTTCCTAACTGCGATAAGCTAAGGGTGACCATATGATAGCCTACACTTTCATGTCAATGTCAACATAGAACACACATCACAAATGTTAGACCGGATTAGGCGTTAGTAGCAACTAGTGTTGTCTAAGCTGCCGTTCTACTATAGATGCGCCGTGTCCATTTCACCCCAGCATGTTCTAGCCAGCAAAATAGCAATACAACCAATTGACTTATTCGCTTTAGCCACCACTGTTCCCCGAAAAGCACTCAGGGGTACCAGCATCTCTACCCTGACGTTTATTGGTCTCGCCCGGCTTAGCCAAGCTCCAAGCTTCGAAGCGCACGTGAGAGATGTAGAGATGGAGTTGACCAGTGTCATACCAGTGCGCTTGGGTGACCGATGCGAGCTATTGGTCCAAACACCACCTGACACCAACATGTGTGGCCAATCAGACTCCGTGATTGTTGTCGCTGTGATTGGTTCCCTAGTGAAGGCAACAAATATAACCGGCGTGGGATCGGATATCCTGGATGGTTCGTAGGCGATCATGGCCGATTGCAGTGTGGTTGTTCGGCGTCTGGGGACGCAACCTAACTGTGGAGCACCAGGAGGACTGGTGAGTAGGGTTCACTCTGAATCGGACTCCTCCGGGTTTGTAAGCGGTAGCGCGAGCAACTCGACTTTGGATGGGTCAACGGATTCTATCTCAGATGCATCGGCTCCGCAACCGCTCCCTGGTCACCGTCGCTCTTCTGGTCAGCGATTGGCGAAACTAATCAGCGCATTTACTCCTTGTCGAGGACGCACAGCCAGACGTAGTCACTCCCTTGGAGGTCCGATGCGCTCTGGTGAAATGTCTCATGTGCGGACAAGTCAAACTCACGACACTGACAGTGTGGTAAGTTATGGTCTTTACGTAGTATTGTGATCATTGTTCCCTGTGCATATCGGTCGCTTCACATGACAATGCAACCGTGGTTCGCTGACTTGCGCCCACAAATGTAGCATTACTTAGACCCTCAGTTTTAGCACTGAAAATTATGTTAACTGCATACGTGAAAACAGTGTGAACTACCCGTTCTTGACATTCTGGGATAATAGTAGATTAACGATATTCGTACTTTATGGACCCTCTATATTTTAGACCGCATGCTCTCGCTTGAGCGACACCGATTCATCGAGTTCTTTGAATGATGTATGGACGTTTATTTCCTACATACCGTAAACCATTCAGTCAGCCGCACAGGAGATAAACTGTTCGCTCTAGATTAATTACACCTATGACATCGGATTGAGAACCATCAGCCGATGCAGGATTAGATTGTATGTTGACCTAATTTAGTGCACACGATTCTATCAATTCATCCTATCATTTCGTACGACTCGGCAACCTGTTTTAAGCGAGTCAAGACCAATGTCATCACCTAGGTCATGCACTTGCTTGGCACAAACAGGCAGACTCACTTAATCGGTAGACAATGTATTATAGCTAGTCCTTTTTCCTCTTCGACAATGTGGTTAATCGACAAAGCTTTATTCTCCCAAGCGATTTACAATTGCAACCGGATTCTGCTGTTGGTGCTAACTTGGTTTCATCAGTTTGATCGTGCTTTTTACCATCGATTTTCGTCTCTTCACATTAGCCTACACTTACGGCCAGGTTCGTAGTGGGTTGTTTTAAGACCGTCTTTGATCAGGGTTTCTCATACGAACATTGACTGCTGAAGATTTTTATGCGACCAGGATTGCGAAGCGGCATGCAGACATTTTACCTTTTCATTCACCTGCCCCTCGAATGAATAATAATGCTAATCATGGCTTGCCGTCATACTATCCGGGGTCATTTTGCTCGAAGTCTTCTGCGCCTAAGCAGCCAGAAGGTTGTAATTTGTTTCTCACGTTGAGACTCACTTTTCCACTATCAATTGTGCTGACAGTCGGTTTTGCCTCATGCATCCATCATTTTGCCAATCCGCCTGCATAAGTTCAATCAACAAGCAACAAAATGAGTTGGACTCATTCCCTCCGTTTGAAGCAGCGTCACATCGATGTCCGAACACTAAACGTGGGGTTAACGATTCGACGAACATTGCTCTACTCATGAGTAGGTGATTTTGATGCGGTCGCACATAGCTACTGTCAGCAGACGTTCTGTATTTCGGGGTCAATCTGGTCTTCTACAACGTCCGTAACTTTCATGGCATCGGGGGATAAGGCGCACTATATCGCTGTTAGCTTGTAAATCATGACGGTCCGAAGCGGCGCAAACCGCTGGTAGTCTTAGTTTGAAATCCTAATAGATCCGATGGCTACGCACTACTGATAATGCCCGAAGGTTGAAACTGCAGTCTAGCGCTTGTGGAAAATATCCGTTTGGGAAGCTGGTGCGACCAACTTAATTAATCGTATCTGTACGCTGTTAGAGTAATCCAACGGCCGTTATTTATGTTCAGGTGCGCCCCATTACCTAATCAGAGTTGTGCTTACGGTTGTCATTACGGCTACTGGGTATTACACTCGTACAAAGCGTAATCGTTCGAGGAGCTCACATAACATAAGACCGTCATGCAGTCACTTCCGGTCCCGACGTCACGCGCATCAGCACGGCTGCGAAACAGTGGCTTATGCAGTTCAAACCCAAAGCACTGCGCACCCGGCTAGGGTGGGGCGCATGCCAAAAGACGTGGTTTTAACCTTACGCTGCAAAACCGCTTATATCTGTCTTTGATTTGACGTATGTGCCAGGGGATACGAACAAGCTGGCAACTACTATCTTTTGCATCTGTGAATCTGGTATAATCGCTTAGGTTGTCCCAAACGGAACCCGACATTGTTACCTCCTCGACTGTTGTTTCATTCCCAGCCACGTGACCGTCGCGCCTCTGACAGTCCCGAACAATCTCGGTTGCCCCCGTCGATCGATGTCCTCGGCAATTATCGGTATTCAGTTGAGCTGAGAGGGCAGTTTCCTCAACTAATCCACTCTGCCAAACTGGATATGCCTACTGTGGAACCGTCTGCTGAAGTGCTGGAATTTCGTCGCAAATGGCCAGCTTCCTTTGCCACCTTGGTGATTAATTATCTGGGATTTCTATCGTTCAGTCCGGAGGATTCGGCGCAGATAACAGACGCCCTAGTAAAGGAGGCAAAGTCAACACCGATCACTACAGAATTGAACATGGCCTCGGCACCTATCACAAAGCGGGGATTCACACCGCAAAAGATGATACATTCCAGAGAGACGCGAGGTTGCGGTGAGCTTACTTTGGCGCCTATTTCTAAAATGAACAATACATTCGTTTACTGGCTTTGATACGTGGTGATGTTTTTGGTTTTCCAGATAAGGATTTAGAACACTGGTACATCGTGACTAGTACTATCATCAGCTATTTATTGGAAGAAAAAAGATGTGAGTTCAACAGGTATTTGCCAGTGTTTCGTTCTACTTATCGACTGCTTACTCATGGGCAGCATTACAGTTTCCAGTACAATACATGGGTAACACGAGTAATACCTGGGTAACCACTGTCGTTCACTCCCTCTTGCCAAGACCTCCCTCTATAATTTACCTATCACTTACATTTCCCCCAACACAGACAATCATCGCTTCATTCTGCGCCGACCGGGAAATCACTCATGCGTAAACGAACTGGAATGCGCCCTTTTTCCCTCCAAGCGATGTCCCCTTTCGATGAGCGTGAAAAATCATGCGTCCGACACACTGGACGATGGTTTTCATCAACTTCCTGCTGCGGCATCAGAAGTTGTTGGCATTTTAAATCGGTACGACTCGTTGGTCATCGCCTGCTTGCTATCTCGTGTCCTGCGGCGCCGTGGCATTGGTTTGATTCCACCTCATCTGCGTCGCCATTTTCTATCGCTTGTCAATGGAGTGAATCCAACGGAACCGATTCAACGCAGAGCTATTCGTTTGTTGTTCCAATTGGTTCACAGACGTTTGATAATTTCGGTGTTGCGACCTTTGTTGGACCTGCTTGCCCACGTGGCGAACGAGCCCGAATGTGAGGTAGACCAGTGCAGCCTGGCCGTGCTATTTGCTCCCGTCTTCTTCATGGATCGAGCCACAACCACACCGGCATCTTTGGCCAACCCATTGCCGAGTCACGTGGTCGAGCTGTTCGTATCATTTGCTCGCCGCGATCTGCAACAACATCAATCGGTTTCTAGTCTGTTCCAAATCCCTGTTCTATTTCAAGAGGACTGTGCACGGAATTTACGACTTCTCACTGTAAGTTCTTATAGTGCTATGGTCCTTCAGTCTGGCTGCAAAGTTCGTGTATACTCTCACCTTGTGTTGTGAATCTGACAAGGCGAGGGTAATGAGTTATTTGTGTGGGGGGATATAAACTGATGAGCCACAGATGTTCGTGGACTGTTATGGGAAGGCTCATTAATTGTTGGGCACTTGCCAATGGGAAGTGGGTGCCAGACTCATCATGACATAAAGTTTGACTGGGTTCACGCGTGGCTGCGTACCGCTTTGCAGTCTGTCGTTAAAATTCCTTCATTCTTCCACTTGGAGCAACCAATGTAACACGATTCCAAGGCAAACAAGTGCATAGATGGCATAGATGCTCCAGGCTTGCTCAAATGGGCGGCCCATACTCGACCACGGCTGATGGAATTCAGCCTTATCCACAGCTTTACACACCCATTCGGGGAATCTGTTAAACAGTTGTCTCTATGTGTTAACAGTGCATGGGACTTTACCGTCCTTTAATGCTCCGAAAATATAGAGCATAGATTAGTTATTAGCTTGACTGATAAACCGTACTTATCGAAGCGTATGGGTTTTAACACCTGCTATTATTTCGGGTATATACTTGTAATGATGGTCCTGTGTTTGAGTAAATATCAAGGACAGTGAGAATTTCTCTGGCATCGATGCTCCTGATCGCACACGAGTAAACCGGGTTCTTGTGTTTCTATTTTATATCTAATAGGGTCGGTATCCCATCTGCCTTCAAGTATCCTGCCCGGATATCTGCTTCATTCAATCTCAACCATTAATTGTCTGCATGAATTTTTACTAGATATTTTTGTTTATATTTAATGCAGTGCCCTAGAAGTATCAGTTCTATAGATTACCACTCTTATTTAACAGACAAACTAGGTTACTTAATTCTACTGCACTATTGTGTAATGCCTGCGGAGATGGAAATAAAGCGATTTACGCCGGAAATTAGCCTGCAAGGTGGCTAACTTTATGAGATTATCCAAATTGTATTGAATATCAACCTCGTACACGAAAGTTAATAGGGGATCGAAATTTGTGAATCATATACAGCTGCACAGGGTGCGACCACATTGTTATCTACCTCCTCTTTTCAATATTTCGATAGGAGCACGATGATCCCCCTTTGTCCTGTAGCCTGAGGTACTGTGTGACCATGACTCAAAGCCCAAGGTGTAGAAGTGTGACTCCAGACACCATTGTTGGATCGATTCCAACCGACCAAGATTCCAAGTCTGTCTTTCCAAAGGTAAGCGTAACTCATACGTGTATAAGTATTTCCGCTGTTTTTCATTTGTTGTAATTTTGTTCTACGCCAAGTTTCTGATTTCGACCGATGACTTATATCTTTGAAATGACGAAACTTTTGGAGAGGGCAGATGGACGAACTAGCGAAATTGTTGGAATTATCCAATGCTCAATAGGGGTAATCAGAATATAGTGGGGTTCATGGCTGTTTGTCTGCCTCCTTCCGTGTAGCTTGTTCTACCGATTATTCTTAAGTAATCAACATTCTTATGCATGATGTTTCAGTTGGCTAGCGACATAAGCATGACAAATTCACCTTTGTATGAAAGCATCAAAATCTCACTGTGGCTTTTGGCAAACGAAACAGCTGACCTCCGGTTGCAGCGGTTAATTGGTCTCGTAATGGTTCTACTTCGCTTACCCCGACCGACAAAATAGGTTGGAAGGCGTTCTTCTTGCAAAGATCTATGTGTGTATCCATCTTGTAAATGTTCAATACTCCGTTGCACATTTTCCATATCAGGGTAACGTCGTGAAACCTGAGGAAGTACCAACCCAGTCCAGTAGATGGTTTAGCGGGTTTCACACATTTGCATCATGCAGCTGTTACCTTGCCCAATAAAGTCGTCATCAAATGAGGTGACCGCGTACTCATGTTCACTAACTTTGGTCCACAGTAACATGCTTTTTGCAATTTTCAGGTTAATTTGACCTCGACGTTTATGGGAAAGCGTCCCAGGCAACGGTCTCCCTTAGTCGCCTCTCCCGGTCTAACTCCATTGCTGAAAAGCGTGAGTCTTTTTCGTTTGCTCTGCGCATTGCGCAACGTTTGTTTGTTTACATCAAAGTAAACTGCGCCCCTCTGTCATTGTTCGTTTCGCGTGACGCTAAACTCATCCAACTGAAGTAAAAAGGCAAGAATTTCAATCATGTCGATAGAACCTAGTGTTCACGTTAGCTGACAACTTTAAGAAACGTCCGTGCATCATGAGTAGAAGAGCTCTGATTGCACTCCCATTCTCATGATATAGTATTAGCTGAATAGTGTCGAGCATGGCACGTTACTCTACATAAGCCTTCATACCTCTTCTCCTCCCCCTCCTCAATCAGGCTCTACTCAGTCCAACATTGGATTTCCGTGTGCGACGAACGCCAACAAATGGTGGACCGAAAATGCTCATTCCCTTTCCCTAAGACGCGTATGCATCATATCGAGGAGTGACCTTGATCATCATGTAAAATAGTACACTGTACATACGTGACATATTTATTCCGCATGCGCCTTCAGTCATCCCGTGGCCACGTCTGTCATTCGTCCTCCGCAACGTGTGTTTTGTCGGAGTACCATGACCTTGGCTTTGTGATCTTTCTCTCCATCTGTTCTGTCTTCCCATTTATATTTGCATTAACATGTCAGTTTCCGATCACACGTAATTTTCTTAATTGTGGATGCGAAACTAACAGGTCTTTCAGCCAGCACAGTGCTCTCTAGGCACAATCAGTCCCATTCGCTTCCATTATGCTCCAGATCGGTCTGCCGGTGTAGGTGACGCTGTGTGTCATGGGTTACCAGAATATATTGATAGGTTAGGATGGTAGTCGAGCTTATGCTAGGTTGCAGAGCAATTCCTGCCCGGTAGTAGTTCATTATGTTCTTCGCCACTAGTTGGGCACGCTGTTACAAATGAGGAGCGGCGGAATCTCATTGGGAACGCCATATCGTCTGTTGAAACTGGCTACTCTTGCCACTGTCCCATAAGTATTGCTCACTTCCATAGGCGCTCTCGGCTTCTAGACTCGACAAAAATTAGCATGAAATTATTTACTAGAAGTAAAGTTTATCCTATTCGAAGAGAATTACTTGCATAACTGGAGGATCAGTCGAGTTTTATCGTATCCATCGCTCACGTCGCATCGCTAAAGTTGCACGAACAACAGGGATTCGCACCGCTGTTGAGTAAGAGGATAAACTCAAGTTGAAATGCCGTGAGCTTCGGAAGAAATTTTGGCTGCTAAATATAACAATTAGAATTAAAAATAAATTCGGAAATTTATGAGTTTAGCTGCTGTGAATCAATTAGAAATACGTACAATATTTATACAACTTACAAGCACTGATTGGGATTTATGCAACCTCTACATTTGCGACAGGTAGTTTATCTGCGTGTACCCTGAAGGGCCTAACCGACCAGCAGGGATATTGGCTAGAAACATTGGTTTGAGACGATTCCGCTCAATTTCCAGACTATATTCTCTATACGTGCAATTGCTGGCTGGGAAATGCTGAAATTTTGAAATGGTTCACCGTAGATACGCTCAATCAGACAACAACTCTCTATTTGGGTATGCGATAGACTGTCGTTTGCTCATAATGGGATGCATCGGTTGTACGCACCTGCCGAACTCGAGCTGTGGATTCACATTCGAGTAGGTTATTTATGCAACAGAGCTATGGTATGGACTGTGGACAACCAAGACTGATTAAAGTGGAGGTGGAAAGGGCGAAATCCTCCACTTCCTCGCACGCCAGGCACGGACACTTTTTAGATCTCATATGTCACTAGGCGATCACCAGTATTTGATAGTTGTTATAGTAGGAAGAATATTTTGAACTAATAGACACTGGATTATAGGCGAGTAATACGTATCGGAATGGCGACAGTTGCCACGAGCCCACTTGCGGGACTGTCATGTCTGTGGCCTGATGGTGCAGAAAAACCCTATCTACAGTAGTGGATACAGTGAAAAACATCTTTCCAACATCAAATGAATCTCTTTCCTGTGTTAAACCCTCTATCGTGTTACCTGATACCCATTGGATTATGTTATTCTGCCAAGCCCTTGGATCAGAAGGACAACGTCATTTTGACGCTATGAACTTGATGGCTAAGACCAGTATTGTGCGCGTGATCCAGTTGTTTGAGGAATTGTGGGGAATCCAACAAAGTGTGTTTTCCGCTCGTTATCAGTTTTTCAAGCTACAGCAACGATGCGGAGAAAGTGTAAATGATTTCATTGCCCGCATTCATCATGCCACACCGGAATGCCGGTACAATACCATTCCCTCAAGTCGGTTTGAAGAAGTCATGAAAATCCAGTGCCTAATTAGTGGAGTTACAGATGATGGTGCGAGGGAAAAATTATTGTCACAGGAGGAAGAAACCCTTTCCTGGGAAATGGCATGTAACCTTATACGTCAAAGGGAAAACCTAAAATCCCAACTATCCACCTTCAACCCTCCTCAGCCTGTGGAATGTGTAAACAAACTGTCACCACGGTCATCCTCTGAAAACAGGGTACGGAAGTTCGTCTGCTACCGATGCGGCGATCAGCACACTTCTCCCACCAGGTGTCCTCATACTCGCACAAAGTGCAGAAATTGCGGAAAACTTGGCCACCTGGCACGTGTTTGCCGTTCCCCACGGTCACAGGTCTCGATCAAATCATTGAACTCCGACGACGGTGAGTGCCCAGATTCCCAGCTAAATTTTGTGAACCATATAATTTCAAATTGCTCAGTTATGACGAAAGTGTCTCCATATAGGATCACGCTTCATGTTAATAACGAACCTGTTTTATTTGAATTGGATACTGGTTCCGCGGTGACATTGATTAGTAAAAACGCGCTCTCATCGTTACCCGACCTGGAACCGACTGATACCGTTTTTAGAACCTATACAGGAGAAGTGATTGATTTACTTGGGAAGTGTCAGGTACGAGTGCAGCATCAGGGTAGATCACACAGTCTGGTACTTCATGTCGTGCCTCAGACTTCAGTCAATTTGCTTGGTCGCGATTGGATGAAAATGTTACCACATGTACTAAACACTATCCACTCCGTGGGGGAGAATACCTTTGAATCGATCCTTAAACGATATCCAGAAGTGTTTGACGAGCAGCAATTGGGCAGACTCAATAATTTTAAAGCAAAAATCCATATGTCAGACTCAAGTACACCAAAGTTCTTTAAGGCCAGAACACTGCCCTATTCCTTACGACCTAGAGTGGAAGACGAGCTGAAAAGGCTTCAAAGAGAAGTATAATTGTACCAGTCTAACAAGCTGAATGGGCGGCCCCGATAGTGCCTGTACTTAAGCCCGACGGTAACGTACGAATCTGTGGTGATTATAAGCTTACAGTAAATCGAGGTGCCATCATAGACCGTTATTCATTACCGAAAATTGAGGATTTGTATGCCAACTTGTCTGGAGGAGTCAAGTTCACTAAATTGGATTTGAGTCACGCCATTCGCAGATAGAGTTGGATGAGACCTCCCGACGTCTTACGACGATCAGTACACATTTGGGGCTATTCGAATACACTAGACTGCCTTTCGGGATTAACTCAGCTTCGGCGATCTTCCAAAGGATAATTGACAATATCATGCGTGACATACCGAACACTTGCGCATATCTCGATGATATCCTTATCACGGGTCGCACAGAAAAGGAGCACTTGTACACGTTGTACCGGGTGTTGCATAAACTCTCTGACTACGGTTTGCGTTTGAAACGTTCCAAATGTGCTTTCCTAGTTGATTCAGTTGACTACCTCGGTTATAGACTGGACAAGCATGGTTTACACGCGCGGAAAGATAAATTACAACTTATTATTTCTGCAACCTCACCTCGTAACGGAGCCCAGTTACGCTCGTTCGTTGGAATGCTTTCACATTAACGTCGGTTCCTACCTAGTCTTGCTTCTGCTCTAACACCACTTCACATCGTGCTGAAAAATATTCTAATTAAGCATGGGGCGAGGAAGATCAACAAGCATTTGACAGCGCAAAAGTCTCCTTGCTTCTTCACCAGTCTTGGCACATTACCACCCCAACAAACCGCTCATCTTACAGTAAGATGCTTCACCTTTTGCAGTCGGGACAGTGCTGGGACATACAGTCCACGATGAAACAGTTCGCTCTATTGCTTTCGCGTCTCGCACATTACAACCCGCTGAGAAAAATTACGCACAATTAGACAAGGAGGCACTGGCCGTAGTATTCGGAGTAAAGCAGTTCCATCAGTACTTGTGCGGCAACCAGTTTGAGATACAGACTGACCATAAACCAATGTTTTCACTTCTCGGTAAGGAACGAGGCATAGAACAACTTAACGCACCCCGAATTGTACGCTGGGCCCTCCTACTTTCTGCTTACAATTATCAAATCCGATACATTGCCGGCCATCACAATAATGTCGCTGATGCGCTCAGTAGATTGCCACAGATTGACCAACAGGAGGAAAGACGTGACATGCCCCACGAGTTTGTTCAACTTTGGCAACACCTGAATACTACACCCCTATCTGGCGACATGGTTAGGAAAGTTACAGACAGCGATCCCGTTCTATCGGCTGTGAAACGTATGCCGCTGCGTGGCTGAGGTTCGCTAGCCCCTGGTGATCTGAGTCCGTTTTTCAATTGTAGATTTGAGCTGAGCCTGCATGAAGGATGTATCCTACGTGGATCTCGCATCGTTATTCCATTGACTCTCAGGTCAGCTGTACTGAAAGAATTACATGATGCACATCCAGGTATTGTCCGCATGAAAGACCTCGCCAGATCCTACTGCTGGTGGCCAGCGATTGACCGAGACATCGAAGCACTTTGAGTACTTGTAACACATGCCAAAAATATCAAAGAGATAATCCAACGGGCCCAATCCACCCTTGGCAGTTGCCCGACAGCCCATGGGAACGTGTCCACACCGATTACTTTGGCCCAATCGAAGGAAAAATGTTGCTACTTTTAGTGGATGCGTACTCCAAATGGATTGATGTGCATGTTGTTGCAAACGCTACTGCAGAAGCTACAATCAATGGCGCACGCTCTAGTTTATCTACACATGGCATACCGAAAACATTAATCACTGAAAACGGTCCGCAATTTACGAGTGCAGCGTTCAAACAATACCTGCAGAGCAACGGCGTTCATCACATGACTTCTGCACCGTACCATCCAGCGTCAAACGGTTTAGTTGAAAGAGCGGTCCAAACCGTGAAAGCTGGTCTTCTAAAGCAGCGTAATGGCTCGTTACGAACCAAACTTGACCGATTCTTGTTCGCATATCGGATCACACCGCTAGAGTCTATCGGAAAGAGCCCTGGGGAGGCAATGTTTGGGCGTCGACTACGTACGAGGCTAGACCTACTTTTTCCAGACCCTCGTCAGACCTGGCGTTGCCAGCAAGAACGTATGCACGATAGTGGACGCGCACCAGTTAAGCCCCAGAAGTTGATAGTGAAACGTGATGTTTACACGAAACTACCACATGAGCAGTTATGGCAGCCTGGCACCGTGCTTACGAGCTCAGAAACGGAGGCCGAAATACGACTAGCGAGTGGAGAGACAGTACGCAGGCACAATGATTTCATCTGGCCCCGCACCCCAGTCACACCCTACCCAGGGGAAGAGAAAGGGGTTCCCGAAG